ACACACACACACACTATACCTCTCACACCACACACTATACCCCCCACACTACTACACCTCCCCACACTACTACACACTATACCTCCCTCACACTACTACACACTACACCTCCCCACACCACACACACACCACACTCACACTACTACACACTACACCTCCCTCACACTACTACACACTACACCTCCCCCACACTACACCTCCCTCACACTACATCTCCCTCACACTACTACACACTATACCTCCCTCACACTACTACACACTACACCTCCCTCACACTACTACACACTACACCTCCCTCACACTGCTACACACTAAACTCCCTCACACTACTACATTATTTTTTCCTTTAGAAATATATAGTAAACTGTTTAACTTGTTGGCTCGTGGAATTCCTGTAATAAATGTTAGTGAATAAATAGAGCGTCATAAATGGTAACTCTTGTCTAACAAATCTGCTAACGTTTTTTAGGAAAGTCTTCGAGGTAGTAGATAATGACGAAAATTACGATGTTATTTACTTAGACTTTAGCAAAGCATTTGACAGAGTACCGCATCAGAGGCTTCTGAGAAAAATCAAGGCTCATGGTATCGAGGGGAAAGTTTTAAATTGGATAAAATCTTGGCTCACTGATAGAACGCAGAGGGTCAGCGTAGATGGTGTTAAATCTGAGTGGGGCCGTGTAACCAGTGGGGTTCCCCAGGGGTCAGTACTAGGCCCACTCTTGTTCATAATCTACATAAACGATCTAGATACTGGGATCAGCAGTGACATAAGCAAGTTTGCGGATGACACCAAAATAGGGCGGCAAATTAATTCAGGGCAGGATGCAAATGCATTACAGGAGGATCTAGATAAACTGCAGGGGTGGTCTGAAAAATGGCAAATGAAATTCAACACCAGCAAGTGCAGCGTACTTAATATTGGAAGAACAAATACTTATAATGTATACAGCCTTAACAACATCAACCTAGTGAAGTCGACTTGTGAAAGAGACCTAGGGGTACTTGTAAACCCGGACCTACGGCCTAGAAAACAGTGCGTTAATGTTCGAAATAAGGCAAACAGAGTATTGGGTTTTATATCTAGAAGTGTAAGTAACAAGAGTGCAGTGGTCTTATTGCAAATATATCTTGCGCTAGTCAGGCCGCACCTCGATTATGTGGTTCAGTTCTGGTGCCCCTATTATAGAATGGATATAAATTCACTAGAGTCGGTGCAGCGAAGAATGACAAAAATGATTCCGGGACTTAGAAACCTTCCATATCAGGAAAGGTTAAAGAAACTTAACTTGCATTCCCTAGAAAGACGAAGAGTGCGGGGAGACATGATAGAAGTATTTAAGTGGGTGAAAGGAATCAATAAAGGGGATATAGATAAAGTTCTTATAATATCCGAGCAGGATAGGACTCGGAGCAACGGATTCAAGTTGGATAAGTTTAGGTTTAGGAGGGAGATAGGAAGAAACTGGTTCACAAATAGGGTGGTGGACGAGTGGAACAAGCTTAGCAACTTTGTAGTAAGTGCGGGAACTCTGGAAAGTTTCAAAAGGAGGCTAGATAGATTCTTGGATGATAGAGAGTGGTAGTAACTCTCGACAGGAGCTGCCATGCACAGGCCAACCGGCCTATTGCAGACTCCTTATTTTCTTATGTTCTTATGTTCTTAACTCGGCTCTCATAGGTAAGGTAAAACGCGGGCATTAATATCCAACTTGGGTGAGAGAGAAGTCAGTGTTGCATACCAGATGTTGAGGACAACACTTGTCTGACTTAAATGGGTATTTTTCTCTTAACTCTTGAAGTATCTTACTGAATGGTGTTCCTTATATCCTGTGGTGACCGACGTTACTGGATGGTGTTCCTTATATCCTGTGGTGTCTCATGTTACTGGATGGTGTTCCTTATATCCTGTGGTGACCGACGTTACTGGATGGTGTTCCTTATTATCCTGTGGTGACCGACGTTACTGGATAGTGTTCCTTATATCCTGTGGTGACCGACGGTACTGGATGGTGTTCCTTATATCCTGTGGTGACCGACGTTACTGGATGGTGTTCCTTATATCCTGTGGTGACTGACGTTACTGGATGGTGTTCCTTATATCCTGTGGTGACCGACGTTACTGGATGGTGTTCCTTATATCCTGTGGTGACCGACGTTACTGGATGGTGTTCCTTATATCCTGTGGTGTCTGACGTTACTGGATGGTGTTCCTTATATCCTGTGGTGACCGACGTTACTGGATGGTGTTCCTTATATCCTGTGGTGACCGATGTTAATGGATGGTGTTCCTTATATCCTGTGGTGTCTGACATTACTGGATGGTGTTCCTTATATCCTGTGGTGACCGACGTTACTGGATGGTGTTCCTTATATTGTGGTGACCGATGTTAATAGATGGTGTTCCTTATATCCTGTGGTGACCGATGTTAATGGATGGTGTTCCTTATATTGTGGTGACCGATGTTACCAGATGGTCGGCTAATCTTGATATTGAACTGTTATTTCACCTCCTGATACATCACAGTGCAACACCAAGCTGTAATAACCAATTGGGAACATCCACCAATAGCTTTAGCTCAACAAGTCGCACAGGAACACTTACCCTCACGACATCAGAGACAATCAACCTCCTTAGTGTAGACTTCCAACTTCTTATGGCTTATGGCTTCTTATTGACACGAAGTGAATCTCTTAGGCTCGTTGACTCTCCAGGATGCAGTGAGTCACCTTTTAGACTCCTACTAGGTTGACTTTGCAGAAAATATGAGCATCACTGTACCTGTCAGTTGCAGCTCATTATTATCACAGGTTTGCCATACATTCTTATAAGTTTGTATACAAGCAATGTCAAGTTGTAATAAGTTATAACATCTTTATCTTATCTTTAATAAACTAATTCAGGTGGTCTGTATTATACTGGGATAACACAATTAAGTCACTCAATGTTGTTGCTTCTGCATCGTGGAGTTGTGGCCGACGTCCAGCGAGGTGATGATGATAACAGCTCAGTCATGTTTTATAATGTTGCACTTTATTAAAAAAACTTCCTCTTAAGTTATACTTTCACCGAAATAAATCAGACTTTCCATTAGTTATTTCTTATAATTTTGGTTAATTTCCTTTAAATGCATCATACTGAATTAGTTTCTTTAGGAACAGTGTGATTGCCCTTCAGGTAACAGTGTGGTCACACCTCTGGTAAGTGTGGTCACCCTTCAGGTAACAGTGTGGCCGCCTTTCAGGTATGTGGACGTGGTGATGGCGACGATGAAGGAGGACTCCAGGTACATCCTTGAGGTGTGTCATGACGGGCCCCCAGAAGCTACCGGCATCCCTAACTCCGTCTCCTTCAGGACCATAAAGCTAGAGTTTGGTGAGAGCTGAAAGTGAGGAGGAGGTGGGGGGAGGGTCAGGGAGTGGGGTAGGTTAGGGGGAGGGGCAGGGAGTTGGGTAGGTTAGAGGGAGGGTCGGGGAGTGGGGTAGGTTAGGGGGAGGGTCGGGGAGTGGGGTAGGTTAGGAGGAAGGGTCAGGGAGTGGGGTATGTTAGGGGGAGGGGCAGGGAGTGGAGTAGGTTAGGGGGAGGGGCAGGTGTAACTTGAGGTATATAAAGAACATTGTGCCAAGAATATTAAATCATTCAACAACTATAATTTACTATGGCGGTCAACACAATTCATAACCCATCACGTCTCATCTAACGTGACTATCCTCCCGCAGGACCTTCATGGAGACTGAGGGTGCTGGAAACTCTGGACATCAGTGAGGACTGGGAGGTGGAGTCCTTCTTCAACAGTTACTTCCTCATAACTTCCAAGAACTCTCAGTAGATATATGGAGGTTGAGGCCATCAACAACCAGAGGAATTCTTTAATAGCTACAATATCATGTTCCCATGAAGGACCAAGTAGACATCTATAGGACTACGACTAGGCACAGGAAGACAGTAGGAGTTGTATCTTCAAAAACTAGCCATTGTATCAAGACTTTTTGAAGGACTCTTGGTAACCGTATAAAGAAGTCATTAATCCGTGTCCTTATGAACCTTCAAGGACTTCTACAGCATCAGTTATCTCAAAAAATTCCTTTATATTGACAGTGGCATATAGTAATACAGGGGAACTTGTATTAGGTGGTTCATCACCTGTCTTTGGTTATTCGTCTATAGAGAAGAGTTACTGACGAATCTGGGTACAGTACTATTAAGCTTACAGTACATGCCCAGTGGGGATTACTGCCAGTGTTCCAGCTTCTGTTACTACAGCTAGTAGTTGCCATGAAGTAGAGTTTACTTTGTTGGCATGTCCGTCCGTCCATTACACTCCTGTCATATGTGATTAGACTTCAACAAAACTTGATATACGGGTGTTTCATCCCTCGAGTACTATGACCATTGATTTTCAGGTAATTATATGTAAGGTGAGTGCCATCCTCAACACAGCCAGATGTTTGCTGTAGCTGTTGATGTAAAAGTCACTTGAGAAACAGGTCCTGGCAAGGCACAGTCAGGATTACTGTCTCAGCACACCTGACTTTTGTAGGGAAAATCTAGTTATTCTTTAATTTTTTGTAATACAGTATAGTAATTAAAGGTAGTTAGCATCACATAAATACACTACTGTACTAATATTTTATCCTTGGCCTGCACCACCCGGGTCACAACCAAATATTCACCTCACTCCAGACAATTATTTTGATGACTTTATGTTTCAACAAAAATTAACCAGTTAGGAGGAATATTTATTGTCTAAACCTCTGAGAAACACTGTACTGTGTCATGTGTTGTACCTCTGTTTCTTTCCAATGAACAAAAACCTGAATTTATACAGTACAATATTCTTCCTGTATCAAATTGCCCATACAGTATTTACAAGAAGTTCCTTCAAGTTAGATCAATGATAACAACAAAAAAAGGTTATCACAGTTCACTAGAGCTGCGTCTCTTAATTTACAACACAATTGTTCATGTCTAGTGAATTATCTAATATTAAAATACTGAGCATGCTTAGGAAACTTTATTGTTGACAAGCAGCAATACCTTATAGGAGTAACATAACTTAAAGTGCACTATAATGAGCATAGTTTTGGAAATGAACTGCATTGTGACAAGTGTCGGTAAGTAACAGGCTGCCAGATGTTGGGAGGAGCTACACTGTCAATCGCGCACAGCCTCAAACGGCAGACACTGAGTAAACCTCTCCACTCTTCAGAAACACACACCACGTATTATTCCTCTTACAAAAGCAAACTGCAGTAATGTTTCAGTTCTCAAGCTGGTTCCTTTATTATTATTTGGTTAGTTAAGTTACTTTTATATTATGTGAATTGTGTTTGATGTGATTCTTGCAAATATCTGTGTACTTTTTTATACTTTTTACAACATTTAAGTAAGGTAATTTTTAGTTTAATATACTGTAGTACTGTACTTTAAGACAATATATATATATATATAGTGGTGAATTTACTTATGTGAGTCATATAAGGAGCTACAGTTAATGCCATTGCATTTTACATGATTAGAGAAATCTATTTTCACTAAAAACAATTCCTCTGGTGGCCAGTAATTTGTGGAGAGGAGCCAGGGAAGAAGGAGGACTGAGCGTACAGCACCTCACCAATAAGGAGGACAGCAGCCAACAGCAGACCCACGCTGAGCACGAAGAATGGACCTTGTGCCTGAAAGAGAAGAGGATCCCAAATCAATAGTCTTGAATGCTTTATCAATGTGAGGTTATTATAAAAGCAAATAGGGGAATAATCATGGCTTAGGATGGAAATGTTTCTTGCTCTATAAATAGAAAAGTATATTTAATTTATACTATATTACATCACTATATTACATTAAGCAATCATTCACCCCGAGCAGAAGTAGACCTCGATGCTGTATATATTTGGTATTACCTACAGTACTGTATATCCAGGGGTAGGTGAGGTGCTCCCTCATCTGGCAGGTCGGTACGGGGCATTGACCCCCACCCCAAGCCAGCCCCCCCAATATTCCACCTTTGGTTACCTTGTGGGGTACATGGGCACTTCAGCACTAAATTTCAGCTGTCTCCAAAACTGTAGCATTATATAGAACACTGACCAACTGAAATCCCTATGTGGAAGATAAAACACAGGAAAACAAGAACACTGTATTTCACTTGTAATCTATGGTCCTCCTCTTCAGCAGTGGTTTTGTTTTTCTGTTTTACCTTTCACGGTGGGATTTCAATGTTATTATCCATGTGTTATTACATAATTTGTTGAGTGTGCTTGTTTTTGTCTATGTTTGTGGTTGTTCAGTGCTCAGATTCGCAAATATTGTAAATACTCGGTAAATAATGTAGGTTGTGGGAAGATAATGAGGACAAAGGTTCAGATTGAGTAAGAAGGAATAATACCTGGCAGAAAAGGACAAGAATGAGAACACTATTACATTTCATTCGTTCATTTGGTTTACTGTCCATCGACATCGTGGTCATTACAGCCTTTAAGTTTATCCGATGGCTACCAGGCAAATACTCGTAGTTGTCCTGCATGAAGATACCAGGCGATTATGCTAATTTATGAGAATTCGTAAGCGGTGTTCAATACCAAGTGCCTTTCACCGGATGGATACCCCGCCAGTATGGTACAATACAGCTGAGAAATTGAGCTGATGTGATATATTTAGACATACGCCCTTGGTATTTTATACACCCTATAAGAACATTAATTAAATTTAACTAGAGACATCACATTCATGTCCTTTGGTATGCCGAGTGTTGATAAACTTGGCAAACAACCAACCTGTATTATCGCCATAGGTTTTGGTCCACTCTGTTTAAACTCTGCTTCACACAAGACTCGCGAGTGCTTCTGTTTCATTAACTGAAGAATACCAAAGTATTGTAGTCGCCTCAATCTGTAACATCACGGATAAACAATAAGACTTTACTAAATAATCATTCTTTCTTTTCTCACTTGTTGCTGTATACTTACTCACAATTATTGTAAGGTTTATGCATAGTCTAATAGCTTCAGCTCTTAAAAAATTATTACAAAATAATAAAACTAAACAGGACAATATAAAAATGTTAAACATTATTTGTCAAAGAAAGCTGGAAAAGTTCTGTAAGAAAAAGACAAGAATCAGCTTCATATGCTCGTAATAAAATAAAGAAGTACCCGTTATTTAGGTGACATTAAAGACTATCATTGCAAGTACGTTTAATAGAGTAATTCTAGTGACGGAGGAAAGTTACATACATATAATCGACTTGGATGAGGTACTGACTGTTCCTCCTCATTCCTAGAGCATCCAAGTTGACCTGCACAGTATCACGGCTGATGTGATACTTGCACTTTTCTCCCCTTCGAGAATATTTATTGGCTCGACCCATAGCTCCACTAAACGCATCTGCAATAAATATGGTTAGTGCAGAACAACTGAATTTATAAGGTGACATATAAATGAATGTACAGTTATGGACAAAGATAATTTGGCAAGGAGAGAGGGAGGGTAGCGGGGTGTAGGTGAAGACTTGACAAGGTCGCATTGTGGGAACAGTGAGAAATCTCCCTAAACATTCAACTTTTACGGGCATTTTTGTGGTTGTTTTGGTGTATTGAGTTATTTACAACACATTGTTATTAGAAGCTGTCTGTCTGTGAAGAGAAAATCCCATACTTTTAACCACCACCTCTATGCGACATGCCGAGTCCCCACCTACCCCTGCCTTCCCTCCCTTTCTCTCTTCTGGGACTGAGAACATCAGACCTTTGGGACCCAATTCCATTATATTCTACCACAGCAAGCCAGACAATGGAGTAGGACTGATGAAGTATTGTGTGAGGTACCATTAATGGTTCAAAATATACAGCGAATAATCCTTGTTAACAATTAGGTGAGCTGACTACCTGTATTAGGAAAGCATCATCTCAAGATTATACACCCCAGTTATCTTCACCTGATGCTCCCCCCCAGGTAACATTAGAGTGTTTAATCATCAGGTGAAATAAGTTCGAGTGCTTATCTTCAGATGATCCCAAGGAGGAATTATTCACATGAACACATACCAATAACAGCATGGGAGCCTTGAGCCATCTTGTTGTGGAAGTCTCGGGTACCAAGTTCTTTACCGCTAAGCACCAACACACTCTCACGAACATCATATAAGGCTCCTCCTTCCTGGTTCTGATGTAGGAAAAAAATATTAATAGGAGTAAATGCAAACAACAGCTGACCTACATACTCTTAGCTCTGTCATTACTTGTGTGTGTGTGTGTGTGTGTGTGTGTGCACTCTAACACTTGAAACTGTTACCAGTGTTACACACTCAGAAAAGTTATCCCCCAAATAGCATTACTGTTAGGGTTGATATTCCTCAGGTGAACATAACTTATTTAACCTAATGATTAACCACCCTAAACTAACCTAACCTATGTCCGCTTTCTCTATCGTCATGTTGTTGTAAATTTAAAATTACGAATGAATGCGTGCTTGTTACTGTTACTAAGATATATATACCTGCTTATAGCCAAGACATTCAAGATCCATTGAGAGTGATGCTGAAAGCTTCACCTGTATTTACTTGTAGTGAAATTGTCAAATGAGTTGAGAGTTAGAGTGAACAATGCTTGTGAGAATCCTTTTTCTGCCATATTGCTTTGATTCACAGTCAGCAGAGAATATGATGACTGTATTGAAATTATTGTCAGTTTTGTATTTAAGAAAATTGTTAATCATTTGAGAGAAACCTGTCAGTTGCTCACTACTTTGAAATGTAATGACCAGCATATGAGTAGGGACTCTGTGTGTGAAATGCTTGTTCACCACAAAGAGTGATTGCCATCCTACGACATGTTTTCAATTTACTTGATGCATTGCAAACTCGAACACTGATTAGACTGTAAAAATTAGCCACCATTTGTACTGGGGAGAATTCTTACTGAGTTTGCCTGTTGTCACTTTATTTTATTTCTTCAACCTTCTTGGTTATATCTCTTTTATTCTTGTTTCAAATATTTTATTTTTCTTAATTTCTAATTCATTTTCTCAAAGTACTTACTGTATTTCTTTAGTGTCTCTTACTTATTTGTTTATTTCCATTTTATTTAATTATATTTTTTTCTGTGGGTTAACCTGGCAGAACCACATCGTTGTTTATCATTACACTCTTGTAATTACTTACAACTCAAAGCTGCCACCACCCAGGCTTTATCTTAAGAATGTAACACCAATGTAAACCCTCTCAACTAACATGGTACAGTAGCATTGTTGAAGAAATAAAATAAAGTAGCAACAGGCAAACTCATTAAGAATTCTACCATTAACCTCAATAACAGTACTGTATATATTATCCACTTACTACAATATAAGTTATGGTGTTGGTCTTGCTCCTCACGGTGGGGATAACATCTGAGGACAAAAGATCTTCCATGGAGTTGATTGGTGTTGACCTGAAGAAGAGAGAGTGGTAGAGCGGTTACATGCATCTTTCTCACCGATATGTCAAGGATTGGAGTCCTGCTTGACCAGGACACACGTGAGAAGGGTGTTATCCAGTGTGACCCTCACTGCCAAGCATCACAGGTTTCCTCCAGGTACTCCAGTTTTCTCCTGTACTAACAAACACATGCCGCTGTCTCCTTTACCCCATTTCTCTTAACATTTAACTTATGAATAACAAGCTGGTACAAAAACAATAAATATCAACTTAAGAAACATTATTTCCTCCACTTATGTTTCTTGTTTATCATAACAAAGAGACCGTCATCACCTAACTCAATAACTACTGTACGTCACACTGAACACAGCGTTTCCTCCTGTCTCCCTAGACCCACACCTCATAGGCAGCATAAATTTCAAAAGATGAAGCCGTTTGCAGTGCCGGCTTTGGCCTCTTGGATTCGCCAATGTACTTACTTGAAGGGAATAACAAGGAAGGCGGTGATGGAGCCCGTGTATACAGACCCCAGACACAGCGCCGCCAGCAGGAGGAAGGCTGCCGTGACCCGTCCACCTGACCCAAGTGGCAGCCGAGTGATGCCTGACGGGGAAGGAAAAGAATTAGAGACAATGCTTAAGGTAACAGATGAGTGATGGAAGACAGCTGTTACTATATAATTCTCCTTCAATGCATTATAAAGTGAAACATTTATAACTTTCTTATACTTTTAACCCTTTCACTGCATTTCACGCACTTGCCATTTCATTCTGGCTACCGCCAGATGATTTTATTCGGCTTAGGGTAACCTCCGCAGCCAAGGGTTAAAATGATTCAAGTCTGGTGTATAATACAGTACTTCTAGAGAAGTTAATCAAGAAACACCAAAAAAACAATATGAATGGCCAATCCAAAAAGTATCGAGACCTCAGGGTGCAAGGGTATAAAAAACGAACGATAACTTCAGATGCGTTCATGTATTGGTTGGGTTGGGTTGGGTTGGTCTTTGCCCAATGTTTACCTTTGCTACCTGATACCAACACTCACTCTGAAAGACAAACATCTTGAAGGCAGAAGCTGTGTGCATCAGGGCATCGTCACTATACACCAAGTCGATCCCTGATTCAGCAAATGCTAAGCAGCTAATAAACATGCCTCCTAGTATCACCGTCATCACGATCACCACCCACACCTTAAGAGAAGGACAATTGTTTATATAGTTGTTAAGTAAATATAAAGACAAAACTACTCGTTCTAAAAAGTATCTTTATGATTTTGTGAGACAATATGATACAATGGACAGAGGATCTCAACAACCCTACCGAGACAACAGGAGTCGAGGTGTTCATTTTGAAATTCATCGAACCTCTCCATGAAGATACGTTTTGGAGTGAGTACCTACACCAGTGGTCCCCAACTTGTAGTTTGCAGGCAGAAACATATTATGCAGCCCACAAAGGTTTATTACAAAATTGTTAACTACTGTTTTGGGGATTATTTGTAAGAGTAAAATTAATGAACATACAATATGTTATAATTTGATACAACTTTTGAGAAAGAGAGAGAGAGAGATGCACATTTGTCCACTATATTTACAATGGTAAATGTGGCCCAAATCCTACAAAACATTGGGGACCACTGACCTACACAACACTTCTCACTATCTTTTTTTTATTTTTACGGGGAATAACTCTCCCGGGCACAGGTCATCGACCCACAATGGGGCCTAGGTAATGCTTCAGAACTAGAGCTGTGGTCAACGTGATTAACAATTTGACAACGTTACCGTCATAAATTGAACACATTATTTTCCATTCTTACACCTAAACTGCTTTAGATTTTGAAAGTCTACATAGAAGAATTTTCCTGTGACTGTACAGTGTACATCCATCCTTGACTCTCATGTTAATACTCATTATGGATGTAAATATGTAGACTATATACGAGTGGTATTTTTTGCCTTTACCTGAGTGGAGAATATCTGGAGGAGGAGGAATGGTTTGGTGAGGATGAGCGGCGCACTCGACAGAATGATGACGGGGTCCTGACCGATGCTCACAGAGAAGTCAATAACTTCACCTCTCTTCAAGCTTGGCATAAAGTCCATCGCCCCGATGTCCGCCTCCTGTGTACAGAGTAGTTCAGAGTAACACTTAGGAACCAATCGAAGACTGAAGGATTGACTTTTTTATAATATATCTATGCATAGTTTTCCTAGGTTGAATAAAAGTAAAAATAAATAATAAATACTGTGAATTTATAACATTTGTTTTGACAGACCAGTATCCTCGCCCCAAGAAGTATCTTCATGGAGAGGGTCGATGAATTCAAAATGAACACTGCGACTTGTGTCGTCAAAATCCTTCGTCCGTTGTCATATTGTCTCACACATAATCATAGATACTTTTTGGAGTGAGTTAATGATCCTATCCGGTACAAACCAGTTCACTGATCCCTGAAGGCTTCCTGCATTTTTTATTATAAAACCAAATAAAAGTTCTTAAAATATTTGTTTGGAAGAAATTATAACACATGGATCCACATAACCCAGATGTGGAATTCTCCAAAAGTCCCTCAGACCATTTCCAGTACAGAAAATCCTAAATTATTCTTTCAAAGTACACCAGAGAATTTCCAAAGAGTCGGGACAAAACCCAAGTGTGCATTAGCTTGAGTGAAGTTCGTTCAGGTCTCCTGCCATCCATCATCCGTGAGGGAAACGTTAGCTACTCTCTCCCTTCTCAGGCGGTGAGTGTGAGGAGTCATACTAGTTTATACATTATTTAGTCTCGCTTACTAATATCTGGCCCTTGACTGTATATAATACACCCAGTCCGCCTACTAAAGCGCAGCTGGCGATGAAGAAACAGAGATTTACACCGAGCATAAGCATCATGTCATGGATAATGTCATATTATGGAATAAATTATATTTGTGTTTACCTTTACTCTAAATGTTCTCTTGTTCTAATTGGGTTTTGTTTCGTTCTATTGCAGATGTATATGGATTTATGAGTTGAATAAAGCCTTGATTATTGAAGGTGTGTGATATCATACAACAGATGGTAAAGAATATACAGTACAGTACTCACGCCTCGAGCTATGACTCCAACAACGCCGTTCCAGGAGCCATCAGAATTAACAGTTCCGGCCCCCTGGGTGGGCACCAGAGTGACCGTCAGGTTCAAATGCTTCGTCACAACCTTCAACAATTCTGCTATGAACCCAGAGGCTCCTTCAAGATCTTTTCCATTGTTTAATTCAAAAATTCCAGCTTTCTGTTGAGAAGATGAGAAGTGAACAACAATTGCCAATGAGTTTTCAGTCGAAGAATATTGGTGAAAATTTTCATAATTGTGTTAATTTAGCTGAAAACAAGAGTCAGGAAATGTCTCTGTGCCCTGGAAACAATGAACATGAACCTTAACACCTTGTGTACAGTAAGGAGTCACCCCTGAAATGAATAAAATCGTCTGGTGTAAGCCAAATAAAAAATTAAAAGTGGCGTCTCCATAGTGAAGGGTGCAGAATTATTTACAAATTTTTGTCACAATTTTCATATAATTAATTACTCTTGATGTTTTTGTATATTCTACAGCATGTTCACATCTTTTTTTATTTAAATGATACTCGGACTTCTCGCGTTGCGCAGGCAGCCAACTCGGTGATGAGACACTGACCTCCAAACATGCAATGTTGACATTGTGGCCCTTAAAATTATATATTGGCTGGGGCCAGAGAGGCTTGAGGAGCCTGAGAGCACCGTTGATGCCCGTCGCCGCCAGCTGTAGCTGCCAGGAACCATCTTCCTTGAACACAACACCTCCAATGCTCACCCATCTGCAAGCAATCATGTTCACAGTAAATACAAGAGCATGAGAACACCAGCATGGTATATGTTTACTATTACTGTATTATAATATAATTACACATAAAACATTAAAAGATCAAACTGTAGAAAATTGTCAAAAAAATTGGTAGATAAATGTCATCATCGCATTGAAGGTTATCCAAGAAAATAACCACAGGACCTTCCCTCTCACCAGAACCCAGCCTCAGTCTGCAGGTGTATGGAGGAGCTGAAATTCGTCTATAATTTGTCCTCTTATAGAAAAGCTGCAACCCATTTTTTTCACCATTAGTGATCTGCCTCTTGACTAAAGACACATTTTAATCCTCTTTAGAAATGAGAAGGAAAACCAGAATGACTACATACTAGGATCCCATTTCCTTTAATATGGAATAAACTGTTAAAGTTGAATAGGAACTGAAGGACAACATCAACTAGGTCCTGGTAGCCTAGTAGTTGTTACATTATCAATTACAAGGGTGTATGTGTAATCATTTACTTCTGCCTCTATGACTAATAATTTAATCATATCTTACATTAGATGTCTATTGACGAAAACAGCTAAACTTAATGTCTTTATTGATGTCTGACAGCTAAACTTATGTCTTTATTGATGTCTGACAAAGAGAATAAACTAATGCACCATCTATGGGCTCAACAATGTGTTATGTTTTGCATTCACAGGTTCACGAATCTCAGGGTTCATGGATGGGACGGAGGACTGACAGGACTTTTTTCCCTGACTGTACAATTCTTCTCTTACAACAGGGAACATCTCTTGTCCTCATTCTTTCAAATAAAAGAATATCCCTGAGTGAGGAATACTGTCATATAAATAAGAAGCTTTTAAACAGAATGGTATCACAGCCTCTGAACCTTTTTAAATCCGACGATGAAGAGACTGGAGATAGTGAGGAGTCTCGTTGGTCGCCGTAGAGTAACACACCCACCATCATTCCATCCACTAAATGCGATATCTCTCTCGCTGTTGCCATGAAGGTGTTCGGTGGCAATGATGAACCAGAGGTGGAGGAGGAATTGTAAGACAAGACAGAAACTGAACTGACATTGGAAGTAAAGATGCCTGAATCAAAGACAGGGTCAGATGGGTCGTTTGGGGTCACAAACCATATCCAGCGAGTTTTCTGTAACAAGAATATTAATTACAGTAGACTTTTTAAAGACAATGTTTACGTGTCTACGTATAATTTGTTAATAAGTTGCTCAATACAGAGAAAGAGAAAGAGAGAGAGAGAGAAACAGTCATAATCCCACTGATGTTTGAATAATCATAATAGGAAATATTCACCTCCGTATTGAGTTCCTTCGCCTCAAACAGCTGCCTTGCCTGGAATAAAAGGGAATGCAGTAAGAAAAGATAATTAGAGATGGAAAATGTACTTGTAATTCACTCAAGCTTAAGGATTTATTGCTATGGTAAATTTTGACTTAATCTGTTAAACAAATCAATGGACTCTAGGATTTATCTACCAACATCTCTATAGCTGTTGTATTGTATTGTATCATGAAGGAAACTAAAGAAACAGGGCTATGTAGGAAACAATACATGATTTTGTAGAAAAATAAACTAAAAGAAATGTAATGTCCTCCACGATGATGATGATGATGATGATGATGATGATGAAGAAGAAATACTGTAAAGAGAAACAATGAAATCATAAATAATAACTAGAAAAATGATATCACCTGAAGATTAGGCCCACCCGGTAGTTAATTTTCACCTCATGATTAAACACCTTATATGCTATCTGGTGGGGTTAGGTTGGGTGATGGTAATGATTAAAATATTCCTGCAGCTGGTGGAACAGTGGCAGAGAAACAGTCTAAACACCTGCCTGTAATATTGCCTGTAATATCCAGATGTGTTGACCAATAACCAGGTGCTGGGAGGTGCTGCCGTAGGATAACTGCTGCAGATTTTGCCACCAGTGTTTCGACGACACTATCTTAGTCCTCACACCACTTTCCCATAGTGCTCTCAGGAGGCAACTACCTGCAGATGTAAATTTATTTAATTCTTCTCTAAATCATGTACAGTATGGTCAGTAATGTCTACATGGAGTGGAAGTTCAAACTCACTCACCTGGACACCAAGGTTATCTCTAAAAGGATTTAATATATTATTCTGATGAGCTAGAGTAAAGGTAGTTAAGAGGAACTATTATATCTGTCTCTATACTTCATAATAACAAAGGTAACATGCCACAAGAATAAACATAGACGGCACTTTGACCTTTTACAACAACTGAATCAACTGAAAGTTAGGATTCAGGATCGACATCTAAGTATATCAGGTGATCAGTGAGGGAAAGGAACAATACACAAATAATAAAACTACTGCATAGAATTCTTAATACATATAAGATGCTAGATTACCCGAGTCGTCCTGGAAGGTGACGTAGAGATCATTGAGTGGCGTCGTTTTAACTATATTTACTGCAGTCATAATGATCTCCTGAGTGTGCGGTTCATTCCAACATCTCATAACCTCCAGATGGTTGTGTTTGTAGTACAGGACAGGAAGGCTCACCCGACACTCAACCGCTGGTGACAACCCTAAAATTTCTAATTCACATCATTAAGTTATATTAATATTATATACATTATATGTGTCATGTGTTGCGTTCGGCTTACCCACGCAACCAACTCCAAAGTTTGTTTTACTAGAGATAAGACACCCGGCGAGGCATAACTGGGACATGTATTTTCAATTAGGTATGTTAGCCAGCCTTTAGGGGGGTGGGCAGTGAAACAGTGTTGTACTGTTCATCGCTTCACACCCAAAAACCTCATTTTAAGTAGTATCCCCTGGACCATGGCATAGTGAAGACATCGTCTCCATCCTCTCCCTCCTGAAAGGGGGCGGGACAAATTGTCATGGTTTTAAGTAAGGTCGGTGGTAGTATGAGTGGATTATATTATATAAAGATAATAATATGTCGTATTTCTTATTTCTTACCGTAGAGTTCGATACCTTCACACTGATTACTTACAGGAGATTATGGCGTATCTACATAGAAGTTCACTCCACCACTCAACAGTCCATGATTTATACTTGATAAATGATGATTTAATGAATTCATTTAATTTTCAACATCTGTCTCAGTTATTGGTTATACTTCAGTCATTACCTTTAGTAATAATAAGATAGGATCACAGATACGGGCAGATAATTGCACTTACATTTATTTGTCAAGCTTCCATACAATGATTTACAATTTGCATGGATATATGATTCACTCACGTTTACGCTGTAATAAAATTAATCCTCTAAAAGGGGGAATTTTTAACTTGAAGACACATGTGATTACTCTACTGTGGGTATGACTTAACAGAGCCTTAATTCTTCAAGTGATACATTTACTGCCAGCCTGGATTGCTTTTGTTACAACCAGGCTTCATCACAAGAACTTCTTTCCACGGCCATAACAACAAAAAGTACTCTTGGGTTACCACACATAGTCTCGCGTCACTGACAGTCACTGTAGACGGGTGTCGTGCAGGAGAACTCTTTAAGCGTGAATTAATTAACCATTTACTGTAGGTTTGATAGGCCAGCCTGGATTGCTCTTGTTGCAACCATGCATCCACACGTGATATTTCCACGGGGATAACCACCTAGGTTAACACACTAAGTCTCGTGTCGACGACGGTTCACAGGACGGAGTGGCGGTGGAGGACTCTGTGTGGTGTAGTGTGGTGTCCCGCCCCCTTTCAGGAGGGAGAGGATGGAGACGATGTCTTCACTATGCCATGGTCCAGGGGATACTACTTAAAATGAGGTTTTTGGGTGTGAAGCGATGAACAGTACAACACTGTTTCACTGCCCACCCCCCTAAAGGCTGGCTAACATACCTAATTGAAAATACATGTCCCAGTTATGCCTCGCCAGGTGTTTTATCTCTAGTAAAACAAACTTTGGAGTTGGTTGCGTGGGTAAGCCTAACGCAACCCATGACAATCGCCCCTACTAAGAAAAAATTTTCTTCGGAGAATAAAAATTTCAGCACCTGTATACAATCAAGAGAAATGCCTAGCCCAGAAACACAATTCAACATTCACACTGTGGTGTGTGTGTGACACTAACACTGCAACGGGATGTAGTCGCCAATCGCCACTGAGGGAAAACCTCAACATTTACAGTACTTTAGATTTTCAGGCTGGAGGAAAACTCCGAGGTGAGGGTAACAATTCCCGAGCAATAGTTCACGCTAAGCGTAAACACGCTACATTTATGTTACAGCAACGTCTTGTGTAGTGTAGGGTATGTAGACATTGTTTAGGTGGTACAGGTGTCGTGTTATGTTCTTAAGTGTAGAGAGGTGTGAAAAGGTTTACATAACATTTGAAGAGTCGTCAGATGCGTTGAGGTTCGAGTTGACCGGGACATATGGACACTCCCACACATAGGTCAGGTCCTAGACACGCTCTGCAATGTCGAATGAACTTCCCCCGGTGGTGAAGAGAAGGACTCCTCCAGCCGGCTGATGTGGAACTGGGTCCCTCTGTCGCTGAGGACCCCCAAGGTGAGGGTGTACTCTGCCCATCACTCACACCTTGGGTCTACTGTCCACCGCCTCATGCTGAAGTCCACCAAGATGAGGATGTAAATCTGTCCGTCACTCACCCTTGGGTTTACTGTCCACCGCCTCGTAGCGAATCGGGAGGCTGAGGTGGAACTGGGTTCCTCCATTGATGAGGAGCCCCAAAGGTGTGGAGGTACTCTTCCCGTCAATCACCCTTGGGTGTGCAGTCCACCGCCTCGTACTGAATCAGCTGGCTGATGTGGAACTGGGTTTGCTGACCACAATGTCCGCCGCCACCCTCTCAAGGGTTCGGGAATCACTGTGAGAGGCCACAGGGGTGCAGGTAGAACTCGCCCTCCGTCGCTGGTTCTGGCAAACATCACAAGTCCTCTTCTGTTTCTATATTTTCCATCTTTAACTTCAGATTCAAAATTTCTTATAGTCCCCTCAAATGTACTGGTAATCATTTCGTAGTACAATATGTGCATTTGCACAACTGCTGACAAGAGTGCAATTATCCGCGGTCTGTGTCCCTGTTCGGGCGCCAATTGTCATGGTTTTAAGTAAGGTCGGTGGTAGTATGAGTGGATTATATTATATAAAGATAATAATATGTCGTATTTCTTATTTCTTACCGTAGAGTTCGATACCTTCACACTGATTACTTAAAGGAGATTATGGCGTATCTACGTAGAAGTTCACTCCACCACTCGACATTCCATGATTTATACTCGATAAATGATGATTTAATGAATTCGTTTAATTTTCAACATCTATCTCAGTTATGGTTATACTTCAGTCATTACCTTTAGTAATAATAAGATAGGATCACAGATACGGGCAGATAATTGCACTTTCATTTATTTGTCAAGCTTCCATACAATGATTTACAATTTGCATGGATATATGATTCACTCACGTTCACGCTGTAATAAAATTATTCTTCTAAAAGAGGGAATTTTCAACTTGAAGACACATGTGATTACTCTACTGTGGGTATGACTTAACAGAGCCTTAATTCTTCAAGTGATACATTTACTGCCAGCCTGGATTGCTTTGTTACAACCAGGCTTCATCACAAGAACTTCTTTCCACGGCCATAACAACAAAAGGTACTCTTGGGTTACCACACATAGTCTCGCGTCACTGACAGTCACTGTAGACGGGTGTCGTGCAGGAGAACTCTGTAAGCGTGAATTAATTAACCATTTACTGTAGGTTTGATAGGCCAGCCTGGATTGCTCTTGTTGCAACCAGGCATCCACACGTGATATTTCCACGGGGATAACAACCTAGGTTAACACACTTAGTCTCGTGTCGACGACGGTTCACAGGACGGAGTGGCGGTGGAGTACTCTGTGTGGTGTGGTGTGGTGTCCCGCCCCCTTTCAGGAGGGAGAGGATGGAGACGACGTCTTAACTATGCCATGGTCCAGGGGATACTATTTAAAATGAGGTTTTTGGGTGTGAAGCGACGAACAGTACAACACTGTTTCACTGCCCACCCCCCTAAAGGCTGGCTAACATACCTAATTGAAAATACATGTCCCAGTTATGCCTCGCCGGGTGTCTTATCTCTAGTAAAACAAACTTTGGAGTTGGTTGCGTGGGTAAGCCTAACGCAACCCATGACAATATGATACAATGTTCCCGAGTCCTGTAACCTCTTTCTGTTCAGTGGGGCATCGTTGAGAATTACACCAGTTTCTAATGGTCATAAACACTTCAAGACAGAGAGTAACAAGTTTATCGACCTGGAACTAATAAGACAATCATCCATAAAGTCTGTACACTTGTACTTATCTGACACACCTGCGAGAATGACAGTGAGGAACTTGAGCAGCTGATCCATCCTGAGGACCTACCACTGTCTCACTCTCACGAAAGTTTGGCTTCACCTCTGGGTCATCCAGGTTGTCTTCTGTAGTAAGGTGAATCTTAAAAAAAGGTATAATGCTAATTATATTACAATAGGTAATATTTTACGGGAAAAAATTGTTATATAGACTATCATACGCAGAACAGCCTTGTTGGCTTCGGATTAGAAAACTTTTACGTGACGATGTTTAAGATTCACTTTTTGGAGCCTTTGTGTGTAGAGAAGATGTTAACAGTGGGTGAAGGAGGCAGAAGATCATTCAATATCATGTTACTTGTGAATCTCAGGTACAGTATACACAAGTTAACATCCTCAACAGCAGAGTTAGGTGGCTCTTCACCCACGCAACCATCCCACCACTCTCATGCTCAACAGAAAATTCACTTGAGATGTGCATAGGAAGATAAGAAGACTACAAACATTATCCTCACATCACACCCACTGGAGAAAAGCGTTTGACTGTTATGTGAAAAAGAGAAGATTTAAAATATACAGAATGCAGTAGAATATAAAAAAGAACCGTTCTGGTATGGTAATTAAAATAAAATTCAAGAACAGAAGAGATGTTTACCGCATATTGTTTTAGGTGCAACTGGCTGCAACATAGTGTGCCCTTCTATTATATACACACACACACACACACACACACACACACACACACACACACACACACACACGATGCCACAAACATAGCCTTAAAAAAAGATATAATTCAAATACATATGAAATGACTTAGAAGAATTGGATGAGAAAAAACATATCTTAATCTGGAGACAACAATATATTTTTATATTCAGGATGTTGTGAAGGAATGTTCACATGTTCTTAATTTGTATTGGTTTGATGGTTCATTTATTCAAGCCCTCGTAGGTCTGAAGGCTCATTACCCCCAATGGCTCATTATCAGAATATTCATTTTTCCAATGGTTCATTATCTTAATATTCATTATCCGAATATTAATTAACAGGATGGCTCAATTATCTGAATGTTCGGTATCCCAATGGTTCATTATCCCAACAGTTCATTATCCCAATGGTTCATTATCCCAATGGTTCATTATCCCAATGGTTCATTATCCCAATGGTTCATTATCCCAATGGTTCATTATCCCAATAGTTCATTATCCCAATGGTTCATTATCCCAATGGTTCATTATCCCAAAGGTTCATCATCCCAATGGTTCATTATCCCAATAGTTCATTATCCCAATGGTTCATTATCCCAATAGTTCATTAGCCCAATGGTTCATTATCCCAATGGTTCAATATTTGATGGTTTATTAGTGTAAAGGGTCCTTGTCCAATAGTTCACTGTACAGAAGATGTATTGATTCCAAGGTTGGGCTACATCAGGACTAATGAATACAGAGTCACAACTGTATATTATTTACTACTATACCTTCCATTTATCTGTTGTAATCACTGATGAAGAGTCTAGTATTAAAGGTGCACTGGAAGTAACATTCATAACTGTTTATGCGTTAAGTTTTCAAACCCAAATGGTCTTTTTTCCATTTATTAAGAAAATAAACTACAGTAATACCCCGCTTTACGCGATTCTACATTTACGCGGTAACTCGCCAGAACCGGAATTTCATTTTACGCAGTGCATCTACTCATATACGCAGGTGAAGTATAATTTTTTTATTTAGCTCATAAAATTCATACAAATTACCCAGCGAGAATATAATTTACAATGCTAGAATTCTTACAATATGATGATCATTTTGAATATAAACATCATGGATTTTGCATTAGACATACAAATTTTAGATCTAATGTAATAATTTGGTTTACACAAGGCAAATATTTTATCTCTTGTGCAAAATATATGAAGTTTACATTCAAAATATTCCCTGACCAGCAAGGAATCCAGAAATATCAATTATATTATCCTAACTTTAGTCTGATGTATTATATATTACTAAAAATTTAAATATACTGTTTTCTCCCAAACATTTCTCTGGTAGGGAGGGAAGGTGGGGGGTGGGGGGTAGGGAGGGAGGGAGGGACCCAGCGAGCGTGGGAAGAGGGGGGTAGCCGGAGGTGGGGTATTTTGATTGACAGATAATGTCTGGGTGAAGTATATTTTTTTATTTAGTGAAGATATTTGTTTTAGCTCATAAAATTCATACAAATTACCCGGCCAGAATATAATTTACAATGCTAGAATTCTTACAATATGATGATCATTATGAATATAAACATTATGGATTTTACATTAGACATACAAATTTTAGATCTAAAGTAATAATTTGGTTTACACAAAGCAAATACTGTATCTTTTGTGCAAAATATATGAAGTTTACATTCAAAATATTCCCTAGCCTGCAAGGAATCCAGAAATGTCAATTATATTATCCTAACTTTAGTCTGAGGTATTATTTACAGTGGGGTATGCTATAACGAACGGATCCTACTACGAATATTCCTATAACGAACGGTTTTACCTATAAAATTGAGAATGCTATAACGAACGAAACTCTTACAACGAACATTATAATTAAAAAAAAATTTTTTTTTTTTTTTTTTTTTTACTAATTTATTGTTTTTTTATTACAAGTATTAATGATACTCTTTATTTCAGGGGTTTAGATGCATATTTATGCACTTTTTTACAATTTTTACAATTTTATATTATATTTTTCAGTGTTAGGTGGTTGTATTTGGGGGCCTGGAACGGATTAATCCTATAACGAACGAATGCTATAACGAACAAGGTTCTAGAACCAATTAGATTCGTTATAGCATACCCCACTGTATTACTATACCTTAAAATCTAGTTTTCACCCAAACATTTCTTAGAGAGGGAGGAACCAGTGAGAGTGGGAAGAGGGGGGGGGGGAGTTGAGTCCATTATTTGAATAGACATTAACCTGGCAACTGTATTTCTCTTAAATATTAATTGTGTGTGCATACCATCATAAAATTAAGATGTCATTTTACTACAACATAGGTATTGTGTCGGAAAAAGTGGAGTTTGGGGGTCGGGCCAGTCTCTATTTGAATTAATCCCATATGTTCTGTTATTCCATTTACGCGGTTTTCATTTTACTTGGTACCCCGTGGGTTCAATTGACCGCGTAAATCGGGGTATCACTGTATTGCACAATAACTAGGTTATCACCGTAATTAACGCTATGAGCTGCGAGCGTTAATAAGGGACGAAGCGTATGTGTAACGAGCTTCGTGAACAGACGTCTTACGTGGGTGAGAGACGGGATACAGACTGCCATAAGGCGGCTACTTACTGATGATTCCGCAGTCAAGATGTGGGGCAGACAGTGGAAAAACACTATCACATGTACCACTGTCTAGCTACCGTGGGTGATGGAATTATATAAACATAATATATGTAGCCCACATTTGTATAAGTATTACTGTCTATTTGACAGGGGCTTATACATCTATGGAAGTAGACAAATCTCAGTATAGGTATTCCTTGCCATGCAAATTAAGGATAGGTTTAAAGTCAACACTTACCCCCAAACAAGTTAGCATAGATAAATAACTTTAAAAATTAATTTTTTCCCGTTTCTATAACCTATAACCATTAACACAGTTAGTGTCAACACTTACCCTTCAGCCTACTGTAAAAACCCAGGTCTTCAAAAATATGACAAAACAGGGGAGACAGACCAGACCTACCTTAGCTTGTGTGGTGGAGGACAAGCGAAGCTCACTTGGCTGATGCAAAAGGCTGATTTTAATGTTCAAGATGAAAAGGACCACCCTGGCTAACCCTACCTAGCCTAGTTATCAAGAAATCCTCCATACGTAAAAATTTATCTCTGAGGTAATGGTTGAACGGCGCACTCGCTCCAAAAAGTATCTTTATGATTCTTTGTGAGACAATATGACACAACTGACAAAGGATTCTGACAACCCTACCGAGACAACAGGAGTCACAGTGTTCATTGTGAAATTCATAGAACCTCTCCGTGAAGATACTTTTTGGGGGCGAGTAGTACGTACAGTAAAGTTGTATCTTAAAATTCTTGAGAAATAAGTTTATAAATCATCACAGAACCAGTTTTGTGCTTTAAGTAAAAGAATTTAATATTATAAGATATATGTATTTTCACAGTCTGTGATGACTGTGAAGTAATTAAACAGATGAGAAAATCCTTCATAACATTCTATCGATTTAATAATTGCCAGTACTGTATAATGGACTACTGTCGTTTCCTTTAATTTTGTCTTTCTTTTTATCACTTTACATATATTTGTATGAGATCCTGTCCTGATAACTTCCAAATGTCATCTTATTAAATATTCGACAACCATGAATTTCTTAATCTGAAATATTCTTATTTTTTCTGTATCACGAATGTCATCTTTGGATGATATTCTCAGTCAATAAAATATATTACATCATGGAAAGTTATGTTGCGTGTTCTTTAAAGGTTATACTAATGGTAAAATCATTACATTTTAACTAATCTTGTAAAAGTCAAAACGAGATATGCAGATGATCTTTAAATTTTTGGCCAAAATAATAAAAATTTCTTCTCATATATTGTTATAATAAGACAAAGTTTTCTTCTTTCTGAGGAGTAGACAATCTGTGAAAAAGAGAAATAAACGTCCCAAATTCTGACCTCTGTAGTCTAACATAGACGTATCTTATAGTCTCTCATTCTCAAAGGCAACTCAACACCTCACAGATTATCTACCTCATCAGAGAGAAGAAAACTTTGTCTTATAATATCTGAGAAGAATTATTTTTACATCTAAGCAAAAAATTTAAATACAGTACTATCATCTGTATATCTTATTTTGATCCTCCCACCATAAATTCACCTGCCCTTACCAAAGAATAGCTTACCATATAATCCGCTTGGTGCTTTGTTGTCCCATCCGAGTAGTGCTTCACTCCCGCTAAGGTTTATCTTGATACACACTGTTACGCCGTCTCTTAATTTACTTAAATATCCAGGTTCTAGGCGTAACCAAACAAAAAAAGTGAAGTAAATTAAAAGGGAATAAAAATAAATAAAGTAAACCTTTAAGAATTTAATTAATAAAATATTAACACAATAAAGAGCCTCTTAGGCTGTCAACAAATTGATTCACCATCGAAACTTTTAAGACATAAATGATACTAAACATCGAAACATCAAAAGAATAAAAATAAAGCATTGGATTACGTTAACACTGCATAAACATATAAAAACTAACACTGAAATTAACTAACGTGAAACAACACTGAATTACTTAAATGTAACTAAGCAAATACTGATGGACATAAATAGAGACATAAATAGGTACTCACATAGATATACCACATTGGTGGCGACAGGAACAACACAAATAAATTAGGTATAAGTAACAGGTGACGAGAGTCACTCAAAGGATGTGGACTGTATGACAAGAGGACTGAACTAACTCTGTCAGTTGGTGGGTCCTATATATAAGGTCGGCTCCCGCCACGCGA